TCGGATTCGAAATGTCGTTTCCAAGCGAGATTGGGAACCTTATAAAGTCAGCCTAATCCAGACTGACGCTCCGAAGCCGCATCCAGGTGGTAAAAAGAGAGGAAGCTCTACGAATAGGATCTTTTTCCATTAGTGGTTTTTTTTTTTGAAGAGACACAAGTTAGTGTCAAAAGTCTCGCGGATTTTTATTTTATTATTTATATCTAAATTTGTAGTATGCGTTATTAATTCATGATACCAGTTGTAATAACTTTGTAACTAAGTTTTATATTCTTGCTTGGAAAATAAATAAATAAAAATAAATAAATAATAATAATCAAAATAAATCTGTTTATTGTGTAATACAAGCTTAAGGGAATCCTAAGCTAATCTAAGTTTCATTCCTGTTTTATCGACAAAATGTGAGGTTAGATTCAGCTATAAATCTATTTATTGGCTATACGGATTGTTTTTTACCCGAAATTAGAACACTTCGCCCTTTGTTAATATTAATACTTTAATTTGTACAGGAAAAAGACTTATCAACCTGTATAGTCTCATATATCTTGGTTCTAAGAATTCATAATTCTGTAATCGAAATAATTTTGTCGATAAAACAGGACGGAAATCACAGACTTCTCAGGATGTTTAGGATCACCTCAAGTCAATTGTTAAATTTAATAATTTTTCTTCTTTTCTTTCTTTTTTTTTTTTTTCGAGAACCTCGAAGAGGAAACCTATATATTGATACGCGATAACGCTTAGCATACTTAGGCAATTAAATTTGTTCCAACAGAACGACGACGGATTAAGCGACAGCTCGGAATCAATTCTGTACAGGAAAAAGACTTATCAAATAGTCTCATATATCTTGGTTCTAAGAATTCATAATTCTGTAATCGAAATAATTTTGTCGATAAAACAGGACGGAAATCACAGACTTCTCAAGATGTTTAGGATCACCTCAAGTCAATTGCGAGAACCTCGAAGAGGAAACCTATATATTGATACGCGATAAGCTTAGCATACTTAGGCAATTAAATTTGTTCCAACAGAACGACGACGGATTAAGCGACAGCTCGGAATCAATCTGTACGACTTATCAATCTGTATAGTCTCATATATCTTGGTTCTAAGAATTCATAATTCTGTAATCGAATTTTGTCGATTCACAGACTTTCGATCACCTCAAGTCAATTGTATCGAGAACCTCATTGATACGCGATAACGCTTAGCATACTTAGGAAATTTGTTTTAAGCGACAGCTTCAATTCTGTACAGGAAAAAGACTTATCAATCTGTATAGTCTCATATATCTTGGTTCTAAGAATTCATAATTCTGTAATCGAAATAATTTTGTCGATAAAACAGGACGGAAATCACAGACTTCTCAAGAATGTTTAGGATCACCTCAAGTCAATTGTTAAATTTAATAATTTTTCTTCTTTTCTTTCTTTTTTTTTAATATTTCGAGAACCTCGAAGAGGAAACCTATATATTGATACGCGATAATGCTTAGCATACTTAGGCAATTAAATTTGTTCCAACAGAACGACGACGGATTAAGCGACAGCTCGGAATCGATTCTTGCGACGTATAATAACAATGGGCTGTTTAAACTTGGACTGAATTGCTTCAACTTGCGCGATATCGTCCAACTTTCTATCTTATTCACTGCGTATCGAGGCGCACGAACATTGCGGCTCGTTACCGGAAATCCAAGCACCGACGACGTTCAATTCGATGAAAAGGTTAATTCGATCCGCGGCTCCGCGCATTCAGACGAAAGTATCCTATTTAATGAAATGGAGACGCGAAATGCTAACTCCGGACTTCAAGATTGCAGAAATCGCTTTTGTTGTAACGATTATATGCGGGCTTTCAATATATTAATTATATATATAATTATGAACACTTGTTCCCTCTTGAAATCAGTATAAAAATTAAGCGTTTGTTTTTTTTATCAACAAACACTGGAATTTATTTGCAATTTTATTTAATATAAAAATATTAAAATAATAAAATAAGAAAAATTGAATTTAAAACATTAAGAATAAATAATGTCAAAAAAAAACAAAACTTGTTCTCTCTTGAAATCAGTATAAAAATTAAGGCGTTTGTTTTTTTTATCAACAAACACTGGAATTTATTTGCAATTTTATTTAATATAAAAATATTAAAATAATAAAATGAAAAAAATTGAATTTAAAACATTAAGAATAAATAATGTCAAAAAGAAACAAAACTTGTTCCCTCTTGAAATCAGTATAAAAATTAAGCGTTTGTTTTTTTTATCAACAAACACTGGAATTTATTTGCAATTTTATTTAATATAAAAATATTCAAATAATAAAATGAAAAATTGAATTTAAAACATTAAGAATAAATAATGTCAAACAAAACAAAACTTGTTCCCTTTTGAAATCAGTATAAAATTAAGCGTTTGTTTTTTTATCAACAAACACTGGAATTTATTTGCAATTTTATTTAATATAAAAATATTCAAATAATAAAATAAGAAAAATTGAATTTAAAACATTAAGAATAAATAATGTCAAAAAAAACAAAACTTGTTCTCTCTTGAAATCAGTATAAAAATTAAACGTTTGTTTTTTTTATCAACAAACACTGGAATTTATTTGCAATTTTATTTAATATAAAAATATTCAAATAATAAAATGAGAAAAATTGAATTTAAAACATTAAGAATAAATAATGTCAAAAAAAAAAAACAAAACTTGTTCTCTCTTGAAATCAGTATAAAAATTAAACGTTTGTTTTTTTTATCAACAAACACTGGAATTTATTTGCAATTTTATTTAATATAAAAATATTCAAATAATAAAATAAGAAAAATTGAATTTAAAACATTAAGAATAAATAATGCCAAAAAAAAAGTGTGAAAAAAATTCGGAAATTCTTCTGAATTTTTAAATATCCCGCAAAAAGATCTGATAATCTCTGCGAATTATGACTGATTTAGGAGAATTTCTACTCGTCTAATTTTTGCAAATTTTTAAAAATATTAAACGACCTATATTAAGTTCGCCACGTCGAAATAACGCTCCGAGGCTCTACAATTACATATGCATCCTTGCGAAATGACCAAACATTTGCTTCGATTGTTTAAATAACGTCGGATAGCGGAAATTCCATTGCGCGGTGAATTATTTGACCGGTCAATACGATTTTTCTATCTCGCTGCGTCCACCGCTTGTTTGCCCACGAATCAATTTTATCCAGCCTCCCCATTCTCCCCTCTTCATCATCCCCCGCACTTCTTTCGTCGTGTAATCAGCATTTCAAAATCGATACTTGAAGTCACCGGCAAATATTTGTAATTCATACCAGAGCCTCTCTCTCTCTCTCTCTCTCAAACTATGTCGGAAATGTGATTATGACATAATAATAACAGGAATGCGTAATGCAATGATAATAATAATAAAACGTCTTCCCGTATTATTCGCGAGGTATGAATATCCGGGTGAGATATTTACTCAAGTTTATCTATGCTGAAGAACGTCACCGTCGCGTTTGATTCCGGTCTCGCGAATATTGCGCTATAATTAGTCGTTAATTGATATCGAACGCAACGCAATCCAACACACCGGCGCGTTTCACGTGTCGTCAATCTAATTAAAATACACGTCGTGGGCGTATGCACTCCTGATGCGCCTTGCATCGTATATAAAAATAGTTTCTTATTTATTTCCCGCGAGAGTTTCGTTGTATATTTGATTAATTTTTTCGACAGCAAAATGTTCAGGCGAAATTGTGTTTCTCATTATTTTCGACCGGTTATTCTTATAAAAGAATGAAAAATAGTAAATTAGTAATCAATTTATTATATAAATAGTAAATTATCAATGATAAATAATAAATACACATACATATTTTTTTTAATATATATATATATATATATATATTTATTTATAAAAAAATTTATAAAAAATATATATACATATTTTTAATAATTCGATTTTCAAATCAATTAAAAGATATTTTATTTTTTAAATATATCCCACAGAGACACTCAAAAATGATTTTCACCCCGAAAGGATCTCTGCTCCGATTATATATTAAAAAAAAAAAATATATATATATATATATATATTTATAAAAAATGTATAAAAAATGTTTATAAATAATAACTCGATTTTCAACCAATTAAAAAATATTTTATTTTTTAAATATATCCCAGAGAGACACTCAAAAATGATTTTCACTCCGAAAAGATCCTTGTTCCGATTACATATTTTTTAAAATATACATATATTTATAAAAAAATTTATAGAAAAATATTTATAAATAATAACTCGATTTTCAAATCAATTAAAAGATATTTTATTTTTTAAATATATCCCAACGAGACACTCAAAAATGATTTTCACCCCGAAAGGATGTCTGTTCCGATTATATATTTTTTAAAATATATATATTTATAAAAAATGTTTATAAATAATAACTCGATTTTCAAGCAATACGTAAAAAAAAATTTTATTTTTTAAATATATCCCAGAGAGACACTCGAAAATGATTTTCACCCCGGAAGGATCTTCGCTCGGGATCAAGTACAATCGATAAATCAATTTGATTTAACATTTTGCAATTGCATTTCCGCCGCTCCGTTTCGACGTCGGATTTGAGGTATGAAAAATGTTGTGATTGATCAACGCGTTCGATTACCAAAATGTAATTAGTTTACGGCGTAAGCGCAAAACACAGGGACGTCGCGTCGCGCTGAAGCGAGTTCGCTCCAACTGCGTTGGCTGCATGCGCAAATTTTCCTTACGCGTGCAAAAGGCAGGTACGGCAGCCGCAACGCTAATTAGAAAATTCGCTCCGCTGCAAGGGAGAGGTGGTTACCGAGCCGGCATAATTAAATTCGAGCCCTTTAAAAGGGAGCCGAGTCTTGACAACATTCACCCGCCTTTCTCCCTCTTAATAGTGAGTTAACAATGGCGTGATTATAGGAACGCGAACAAGCAGGCGAGCTCGCTCTCTCTCTATGGCTGTCTTACCTTATTTTTGAGACGACCGTGGGCGTGAATTCTAATTGGCCGAAGCCCAACTCCTGCGGCCTCACGTCCTCCAAACTGCTGTATCTCACGTAACTACAAGCCGGCGTAGAGAACGCTGGAACAATGGAAAGAAATTGTGTGAGCCGACTCTCGATAAGGGAAAAATACGAGAGTCTGTATATATTTCGCGTAGCTACGGCGTGTGATTAATATTTCATTAGAATATTTTTTGCAGGATTTTTAGTTTGCAGATTCCTCTTATTATTTTAGAAAATTAATGATTTTATATATATACAAGTATGAATTATTGTTGAAAAAGTGCCTTAAATAATTTATCTTCAGCTTTCTCCTCGAATCTTAACTCCTTTAAATATTAAAGAAAGTTTAACAAATATCTTTTTTATTAGTGGAAAATATCCACCAAATTTCATTTTTTTCATTTGCCTGAAATTTGAGAAAAAATAGAAACTTAATTTTTTTTCTCGTTTTTTAGAAAAGTGTAAAGTTTTTACATAGGGGTTTCTTATATAAACATATATTCTTATATCCCTCCTCGAGGAGTTTTTATTTTTTTTTTTAATTAACAAATATCCTTTTTATTAGTGCTAAATATCTACCAAATTTTATTTTTTTTATTTGCTTGAAATTTAAGAAAAAAATAGAAACTTGGTTTTTACCTTCCTCTTTAGAAAAGTGTAAAGTTTTTACAAGGATTTCTTATATAAACATATATTCTTATATCCCTCTCTAAAGAGTTTTTATTATTATTTTTTTAATATTAACAAATATCCTTTTTATTAGTGCTAAATATCTACTAACTTTCATTCTTTTTATTTGCTTGAAATTTAAGGAAAAAATAGAAACTTATTTTTTACTTTCCTATTTAGAAAAGTGTAATATTTTATTAGAATATTTTTAGCAGGATTTTTAGTTTGCAGATTCCTCTTATTATTTAAAAATAATTATATATATATATATATGCAGTAAATATAAATATTTAATATATTTAATGTGTATATATATTAAATATTTATACTTACTACATCGCGAAAAATTAATTTGCCGTAAAATATGGCCATTAAAATGAAGGATTATTATTGTTGATAAAGTGCCTTAAATAATTTATCTTCAGCTTTCTTCTCGAATTTTAGATGAAGATCTTAACTCCTTTAAATATTAAAGAAAGTTCAGAAACAATGTTTATATTTATAAAAGCTTTTTAGACAATGTAAATATAATTCGCGATAATATTCAAAACAGAATTCCAAAATGCAGTATCCATAAAATCATTTTGCGCAAATTCTATTTCGAATTTCTTCACAAATTACAAGTCATTTAAAGCAGCCTTATTAAAAGAAGGGCAATAAAATTATATAATTATATTATACAATATGCTTTTATTTTTTCCTAAGATTCTTACCTAAGCGCATTAATTAATAATTTTCTATTAATTACTGTTTCATTAACTTAATTAATCCCAAGGTTTCTCTTCGGAAAAAATTTCGAGCAAAGAAATAAACGAGCTTTTGCATAATTTCCCGGATAGGCGAACTGAGGAAAAGAATCGCGGAAGCGAGAAAAGTGCGGCACGAGCATATACTTCGGTACATAATTTCAAGCTGGGCCGGCATTTCTGCGCGCGAAAATTTTGCTTGCCCGAGTTATAAAAAAAATGATATTCCAAAAAAATCTCCCACGAGGTCCGTCGCGGAAAATTTCCACCATTTCTGCGAAGCGTGACTTTTTCGTCCCGACGTTCATTCTCGCTTCATTAACTGCGAATCAGCGACGTACCTGCCTACATTAAGAAAAAGAAAAGAATCGCTCTCTTCTCCCGCGACCATGTAAAGAGAGGATGTCGGGGGTGGAATGGGAGGGATAATAGTCTCCGCGAAAGGAGGTAGATTGTAAAATCGATGAGACTCCTTCGCGAGCTCTCGCCAACTTTGCGCGGATCCTTTTATTGTGAAAAAATCGCCCGTTAATTCTCCTCGCTGATTATCCCTTTCAACCCTAAAAGGTTGTCGAACGAAATTGCTTTAAAATGGAGTTATGAAATTGATTCTCCAATTTGTCAAAATTGAAAGAAAAAAAGGGAGTCGTATAGCTCGGAAATATAGATGGTGTACCCTCACCGAAAAAATTGTATTCTAAGCGCCAAGAGGATCCTCTTAATTTAAGATGATATTCTTAATTTATTCTTATTTTCAGAAAAAATATGTCATTATAATCCATTTATGTGCGATAAAGATGATCTAATGTTAAATAGAAAACTCAGCTGATTAGGACACACCGAAAGGCTTTCTCTGCAATAATATTTTATGTTTCATACAAATGTTTTTCAGGGAGATATGTTCTATATAAATTTGAAGAAACAAATAATGTCAGATTGATTAATACCATTTACTGTGCTCTACATGTCATATATGATTTTAGATTATTATTATTAGTAATAAATTTAGAAAATGTCTCCAGCTGATTAGGACACACCGAAAGGCTTTCTCTGCAATAATATTTTATGTTTCATACAAATGTTTTTCAGGGAGATATGTTCTATATAAATTTGAAGCTTAATTATTTTAAAAAACAATGGATAATTTGTCAGAGTGTGTCTACCGAACAGCGTCTGATTAATACCTTATATTACTACTGAAAAAATAATTAATTAAAGCTCTACATGTCATATATGATTTTAGCTATTATTATTATTAGAAAAAATATAATAAATTTAGAAAGTAATTAATTAAATTCTTTTCCAAATGTCATTATAATCCATTTATGTGCGATAAAGGTGATCTAATGTTAAATAGAAAACTCAGCTGATTAGGACACACCGAAAGGCTTTCTCTGCAATAATATTTTATGTTTCATACAAATGTTTTTCAGGGAGATATGTTCTATATAAATTTGAAGCTTGATTATTTTTAAAACACAGTGGATAATTTATCAGAGTGTGTCTACCGAACAGCGTCTGATTAATACCTTATATATTACTACTGAAAAAATAATTAATTAAAGCTCTACATGTCATATATGATTTTAGCTATTATTATTATTAGAAAAATATAATAAATTTAGAAAATAATTAATTAAATTCTTTTCCAAATGTCATTATAATCCATTTTGAAGTTTGATTATTCTTATTTATGATATAAAATGGAGTTATGAAATTGATTCTCTAATTTGTCAACATTGAAAGAAAAAAAGGGGAGTCGTATAGCTCGAAAATATAGATAGTGTACCCTATCTCGTTTTCTTTCTTCCTCTCGTTAGCGCGTCGAATGTATACAGGAAAAACTATTCGAGAGCCCCTGACGGAGGCGCCAACATTTTTCCTCGGATAGAGCCGAGAGAAAATAATATCCTCTAAACGTTAATCGAACAATAGCTCCTTTTTTTCTTCGACTCGGCTCTCGCAAGAATAAACAGGATCATTGAATTTCAACGGAATTGTTTGTTCTGCGCTCGCAATGAGCGCGGGCACTTTTCGAAAAGTTAGAAAACAATCGAAGGAAATAAAAGACGCGAGAGAGATAGAGAGAGAGAGAGAGAGATTGTGGGGGCGGTAAACCGCCAAGGTACTCCAATCAGCTTCCCAACTTTAACCGCGCTGCCTTCCGGCTGGCAACTCTCTCCCTAATGAAAGCCGCGTGCAAACTCACGCAAGAAACCACTGTCCGTGTTGAACTTTAGTCCCCGCGCGTAACGAAAATGGCGCAATAAATGATAAAGTTTTCACCGCAAATCGTTTTGATAATTGAGAGTGGGATAAATCGTATCTATAGGGTGAATCTAAATCGTGCGAAACATTTTTCATGAGTCTTTTGGCCGAAAATTAAGGGAGGTTTCTTATGTAAACGCATATGTTCTTATATTCCTCTCTGAGAAGTTTTTATTATTTTTTTTTTTAATATTAATAAATATCCTTTTTATTAGTAGAAAATATCTACTAAATTTTATATTTTTAATTTGCCTGAAATTTGAGAGAAAAATAGAAACTTAATTTTTATTTCTTTAGAAAAGTGTAAAGCTTTTATAAGGATTTTTTATATAAATATATATTTTCATATCCCTCCCTGAGTTTTTTTTTAATATTAACAAATATCCTTTTTATTAGTGGAAAATATCTACCGTTTTTATTTTTTTTATTTGCATGAAATATAAGAAAAGAAAGAAACTTGATTTTTGCCTCGCTCTTTAGAAAAGTGTAAAGTTTTTACAAGGGTTTCTTATATAAACATATATTCTTATATCTCTCCCTGAGGAATTTTTTATTGTTTTTAATATTAACAAATATCCTTTTTATTAGTGGAAAATATCTACCAAATTTTATTTTTTTTATTTGCATAAAACATAAGAAAAGAAAAAAATTTGATTTTTGCCTCGCTCTTTAGAAAAGTGTAAAGTTTTACAAGGGTTTCTTATATAAACATATATTCTCATATTCCTCCCTGAGGAGTTTTTATTTTTTTTTAATGTTAATAAATATCCTTTTTATAAATAAGCTTTTACAAAGGTTTCTTATAGAAACATATATTCTCATATCCCTCCCTGAGGAGTTTTTATTTTTTTTTTTTTTTAATGTTAATAAAAATCCTTTTTATTAGTCAAAAATATGAAAAATTTCATTCTTTTTATTTGCTTGAAATATAAGAAAAAAATAGAAATTAATTTTTACCTCCATTTTTAGAAAAGTGTAAAGCTTTTACAAAGGTTTCTTATAGAAACATATATTCTCATATCCCTCCCTGAGGAGTTTTTATTTTTTTTATTATATAAATAAATCATTCCTTTTTATTAAGTCAGAAAATAATGAATCAATATTTCATATTCTTTATTATTAGTCAAAAATATGAATAAATTTCTTTATTATGTCTAAAAAAAAAAAAACAACTCCTCGGGAAGGGATATAAAAGTATATGTTTATCTAAGAAACCCCCTTAATTTTCGACAAAGAGTCATCTTCTAAAATGTTTCGCTGTTATTTGCAGACCCAGCCTGCATACTGTGTATCGTCGCTATTTGGTGAATGAAGACAATGAAGATAAAAGAAAACGACGTCCCGCAAAATAAATAATCGTGACTGACCTTACCTCTCCCACGTTGTTTACCGGG